TGTTTAGTTTGAAATCAACCTTCTCAGAGTAAGATATTTTAGGACCAACCTGTTGTCAGAAAACAGTTAGCCTAGCTTAGCAGGATGTAATAGCCTTGCTTTGTCCAAATTGAAAAAATTTCTTCCAACACCTTTTAACACACAGACAGTACTGTATGATGCATCTGATGATGATTCTGGATATTATTCTCAGAGAAAGTGCAGTCCCCCCCCCATCCCCTCATGGCGTCTTCCCGTGGGTTATTGGTGCTGCTACTGCTGCTGCTCGGCTGGACCTCAGCCGGCCTCGCCTGTTTCTGTGACCGCTACCCCTGGGGGTCCTGGTCCTCCTGCACCAGGACCTGCAACCACGGCACACAGTACAGATCCAGGTGAGACACAAAAGTACATTGACCCAAATACTGTACTGTTGGGAAAATACTGAATGTACTCTTCCAATATCAGATAACATGATAACAAAGGTATCCCAACTGTAGCTGTGTACATGACAGGATGTGTGATTACCTAGAAGAGCATCAGGACTGTTTGAGGCATATGATAGCTATGTGATTAACATGATGATTCAGCCTCTATGGAGAGAGACATATGACAAGCATGATCATTTCTGACGTGGAGCTAATCTGAAGTAAACATTGAATACTGCTTTCTATTCCTCCATCTTGGGACTGTGTAACTCCCTCTCTCTAAAAATCTGAATTTTGAGAAAAAGTCAGCATTTTGACAAAAAGTCAGAAGTTTGACAAAAAGTCAGAAGTTTGACAAAAAGTCAGAAGTTTGACAAAAAACTCAGTATTTTGTTCATGACAGGATGTATGCTTACCTATAGAACCGGTATTCCTCCATCTTGTGACTGTGTAACTCCCTCTCTTGGATATCAGCATGTGAAGGACACTGTTCAGGAACTAGCTGATGCTCTGTATGTGACGACTACTTCCATTCTTGAGAGGATCATAAATACATGGATCCTGANCTGTCCAAATCCTCCGAAAGATCAGAAATCCTGTGTGCAACTGTGTTTCTTGTCAGGCTGATATTTTCAAAAGCTTGACGCTTTTCAGGGCACACAATCTCTGCAGCTGTCAGCATGCATGTCTTCACAAATTCACCCTCGCTAAATGGTTTTGAAGCCACTGCAATTTCATTAGCAATAAGGTAGCTGGCTTTCACTGCAGCATCGCCGATTTCTCGGCTATGAGTAAACACAGACTGCTGTTTTTTCAGACCCGCCAGCAATTCCTTCACCTTTTCGCTTCTCTGTTTTCCTTTCAAGTTATCATATTTGTCGGCATGTTGAGTCTCATAGTGGCGACGAAGGTTATATTCTTTCAGCACTGAAACGTGCTGCGAACAAACCAAACACACGGGTTTCCCATTCACTTCCGTGAATAAATAGGAGGATGACCATTTTTCTTGGAAAACTCTGCACTCTGTCCACTTTTCTCTTTTTTGATAGCGACATTTTGGGGAGTGAGGAAGCCAAGCACGATAGACTGTAAACACAGGATTACTTCCTCAGCCCCGTTATACATAGTTTGCTCGCTTCACATAATTGCTATTGCGACACCCAGTGGACACATTTAGAACAGCAGTTTCTTTCATTGAAAAATTGCAGCTCTTTTTATTTTTTATACTTTCCAAAATCATCTCGCGGGCCGGATTAAACTTGTTCACGGGCCTGATCCGGCCCGCGGGCCGTACGTTTGACACCCCTTTAGATTCTAAAGTAACAGACAGAGAATCAGCACTTTGGAAACAGGGCTGAAACAGAGGGGATTATGGGTAATGCTGCAATGACCTGTTTGGTGTTTCGAGCCAAACACTTCAGAGACATGTTTGTATATATCTGAGACCTTTAATAAAGTAGTGAAAAACAGTATAATATGGGGACCTTTAAAGTTTTAACCAATGAGTAAGTAATCGATAAGGTCTAACGGCTGTTTCTTGGTTTTTGCATATCTTAGGTACTTAAATAAACCATGAAACCTACAGTATGAGCTTCATATCAAAATTCACAGAAAAGTCTCAACCCTTTCTTTAATGATACACCCGTTTGTCCTCAAGCACCATGTAAAGACATTATTTTGCCGCCAAAAGCTAAAACAAATGTTCAATTTTAATTTCATTGTCATTTATTCAATACCTTTTTTTAAACAACGGCAACCTTTCATTATGTGGACAAGATATGTTGGTGCTTGAAATGGGCTAACCAAAGTCTTAGCTTCACAAAAGTAGTTTCACATACCTATACAATATACAGGAATGATTCCTTAATCCAGAATTGAGTTAGCATTTTAGCCCTTTTGGTTCCCTCGTCTCAAAATCAATGTGTTTTTAATGTTTTTGGTTCTTGCCTGTTTCTGGGCGCAGGGCGAGCAGTCGGACCACGTCCCAAACTCCGTCAGCAGGCAGTTGATCGGACAGCTCTGCTCGTTACAAGCTCTCTTGTCTTGTTTCTCACACAGCTGACGGCAGCTATTCTTCCAGTAATAATCATCGTTATAATTAATGTTCCTGTCAAACATAAAAAGAAAAAAGAAACATAAAAAAATATGTTTTACATGCAGCAGATGTTGGCATCATACAGTATGAACCAGGCATTTGCATTTCACAATCCTAACTGAAATCAGCAGAGGAAAGAAAGAATTTTTTTTTCACATTACAGTATTTCACAATTTTCCTGGCTCAATTTTCGGTTTCAATTTGCTAAATTGTTGATAACACGCTTTGCTCCTAATTCTGGCCTCAGAAGCCATTCTGTGTTCAGATCCTTCATAGAGTGAACGTAGTAATACACACTACAAGTAGACATGCATAGGCTACACCCTTACTGATGAAAGCTGATGTTAAGTAAAATCATCCAAATGCACTTAAAGTATCTAAAGTAAAAGTATTGATTGTGCAAAACAAAAACGTCCCTTTTAGTGTATTACTATTATATATGAGGTTTTTGGATACAACTGCATTTGAAAGACGCTCAAGGTTACGCCCATTTGAACTCCTTCCTATGAAAAGCCTTAGGATTGAGTCCTAAAAAACGGAAATTTGTTAGCATTTTACCACTTCTAGTGCCCTCGTCTCGAAGACAAAAAAATTGTAATCTTGTTTTTGATGAGATGCCTGAAATAACATATTTTCATGAGTTTATAAGAATAACAGCCATTTCCAGATTTATGATGATGCAATATCAGCCGATCCTAGAGGCTTTTAATTAGTTATTTTACCTCAGGGGAAATGTATCAACACATAATGAAGCATTTCGTCCTTTAGTTTATCAAAAACATCTGTTAATACATTGTGTTTACTGGACAGGAAGAGGATACAAAGACTGTAATCTGAAAAGCTGTCAGATATATGTTGGACAGTCTCTTAGATGCAGTAGAATAAAAGAATAGTTGCTAAAGTAAAAAACAAAAACCTCAATTGTGTACTTCACTACATGTTATATCACTCGTCACCGGCTTGAGCTTCAATCTCAGGATCCATGTATTTATGATCCNGGCGTATCAACAAAAAGCCATACAACAACATTAAGTCATATACTGGGAATATGTTAAAATGACAAATTAGTTATTTGAGAAGAGTTTTTGTATTTTGTTCATTCCCAGTATATGACTTAATGTTGTTGTATGGCTTTTTGTTGATACGCCAAGTCTAAATGTGCTTGTACTGTTATTGCACTAAAGTTCACTAAACTTAAACAAAGAAAACAATCTGAAGTTGTCGTCATTTTTTTGTTATTATGCTATGATTTTACCGCTCCGGCCCACTTGGGAATAGATTTTCCTCCATGTGGCCCCTGAGCTAAAATGAGTTTGACACCCCTGCTTTAGATGAAAATAAGGAGCCCCTCCCCACGCCCATCTGAGAGATATTTGGTTAAAAAGAACAATGCTGTTCTAGGAGGAGATTCAGGTGATAA